AAACTATTTTCATGAAAAACAATTTGGTGGATCATTCATATTCGTGCCCTTCCAAAACTCCATCTCAGAGATGCATTTTGGATTTAACAATTTCACGGGCGATAACCTCAATCACCAAGATCATGAAGCTCAAGAAAAAGAAGGAATTTAACATTAAAAATAGATATATTAAAATTTAAAATGAAAGGTCCAAAAATGGTCTAAAAGCACTGCTTGAAATAATCTATCAATAAGATTTAGAAATTAATTTTTCATAATTAAGATCATGGTGGTCGAGATTATCATCTGTTAAATTTTATATCCAAAATCGGCTGACCCACAAACCCCTACCCTAATTTAGAGTCCCAAACTAGATTAATCTCTTTAGAAAATCCCAGAAAATTAAACTTTACAAAAGAAACCATGGCAAACATTCGATTACATGAATGGTTTTAACAGCTCTTTGACTGCCAAGAGTAGTTCTTGTGCCTTCGAATTCATGGCCAGAGGATAGTAGAATAATCACAAAAAATTATATGATTTGGTTTCTAATCCCGCCCATGCTATGCTTCCTTCTTATGCAAAAATCAATATTTCTAATACAAAATATATATAGAAAAAAGTAATTTAAAGTTACATTTGTACAAATATAAAAGAAAACAATGTGCATAACCAAACCAAAACCTTTTACCAGTGTTCTTCCTCAACCAGCTGTGATTTTTTGTAAGGCTGTATTCATTTTGCACATTATTTATAAGAAGCTTAAATTGATTTTCATTCAAGAATTATGAGAGTTGATTTGGTAAAGCACATTATTTATAAGAAGCTTAAATTGATTTTCATTTAAAGAATTATGAGAGTTGATTTGCTAAAAACAAAATAATAAATGTATTCATGAAAGAACAGGCTTTTGAAGCTTTATTTGCAACACAGCATGCAAAAGCAGAGCCATTATTACAACAAAAGCTCTATTTATTTGAAGTAAGTCTTTATATAAAGAAGATGCTCTTCCCTCTTGATAAGGTTTTGACCCTATTCATTTAGTATAACAAAAGTTGTTTCTATATAAACGACGTTAGTCAGCACCCCCATTCAGTCTCTTCTCCTTTGAATTTAGCCATCTGAACTATATGTGCGCCAGGCCTATGGACTATATAATAATCTTTGAGAGTTTCCAGATTTGGCTAAGAGAGAAGTTAAATCATTTAAGGTATTTCTCTCTTTAAGAGGCTCTTTTTCACTAGATATCTGTACAATAAATAGTCTCCAGGTTTTTAAAATGAACTTGTGTTACACTATTTAACCTTTTAAAATGAACTCGAGATGTACTATTTATAAATGAGGTTTGAAACATTCAGGTAAACAAATATCCGGAAGATCAACTTTCAAGAATCGCCCCCGCAACCCCATCAAGAATCGAACGTGCAACCTCCGTTAAAGAGGCCACCTCTATCCCACGGCATAGCCAACACCCCATTATCTGATGTTAAAAAGCGCACACTGAAGATACATATTATGTATTTTTCTTCATTTTCTTTTTTTAAAAATGATTTGGTTTTCTTTTTTTAAAAATGATTTGGACTCGGGCGAGTTACTCGAACTCTCTTGAGTAAATTGCCTTAGCCAGGGCATGAGTACCTTAGCCGAGTTGATTTTTTAAATATTGATTTAGAAATAAACCCAAAAAGGATAAGTGTGAAGGTAATATTACACTTTGAGATGGAAATTTTTAAATAAGGGTAATTTAGTGGAATATATTTCTATATTCTTAATCTTGAACCATAATTTCTTCATATCTTATAAAGAGAACCACCAAAATAAAATGAAATATACAGAGTAATACCAATTTCATGGCTATCTATCTGCCATGCTAAATAGGAACATTGCTATGATGCTTGGAGAAAGAAGCGAGAAAGAAAATTTTCCCTTTCTCTTTCAATTTATTAAACACAAAACTTCCTATATTTAGAGTGGAGGGATAGGGATAGGGATACTTGTTTGATGAGGATGAAGCGTCCATTGGAACGAAGAGATATTTGATGAGAGGGTAAGAGAGAGTGGACTTAGATTGTTTGTTTTTTGAAAAAATTGGGTATATAAAAGAGAAAATTGGATGACCTGGTTAAAGAGATAAAATATAATATGTCTTAATGGAGGGAGGATGATATCTTAAAGAAAAAGCAATAGAACGAGAGACTTGGACGCTAGGGAGAGTTGGATATCAGGGAAACAAATTTGTAAAGTTTGTAAAGAAGTGCATAGAGAGAATGGAAAGGGTTTGCATGTTTGCAAAGAAGGTTTGCAAGATGACGTCTTTAGAGGGTTTGCAATAAGGTTGAGAAATATGAAGTGAAAAAAAACAAAAAAAGGGCTATTGAATGGAAGGGAGCGTTTAGTGTTTCGAGAGAGATTTACCTTCAATAGAGGAACAACTACCATGGAAGCTGAGATTGGGATCGATTATTTTCTCAAAGAGTTTCTCTCTCTCTAAAATTCTTTAATCCACCATCCATTTGTTGGGTGGACGTTCGAGATTGAATGGGGAAGGGAGCGTTTTGTTAACATTATATATCTTCTTTTTCTTTTCCTTTTTACTGTTGCCTTGTGTGTCTTTTTCGATTCTTTTTTTTTTTTTTGGGTGTTATGTTGAAATTGTTAACTCCCAATCCTTGAAGCCTATATTTTAACTTCAAATTTTTGTTATGCCAATTAAATTTATTGAATTAATGACATAATTATAGTTTTTTTATCTACTTCTCCACATGCCTCATCGTATGACTCATCGTATGACTGTGTACTATATATAGATGATAGAGCATTACATGTACGCGGTTGGTGGTATGACTGGCGGTTTGACTAGTCGGACCACCACCATGTCTAGCCTAGTCTTGATAACTATCGATTTTAGTACACACTAAAATGCATGTGACTTTGAATTTTATGACAAACAGCCCCCATCTAATTTTAAAAAAACCATATTAGTAATTTGTGTAAGGAAAATATTTAAAGGAGGTCCTATACAAATGCAAACCCTCTTTCAGAAATTCATCTTAGAGATGGGTTTAGGATATGAAATACATCCTAAGTCATATGAGATACAACATATGGGCTTTAAATCCATAGGTTTGCAGCTTAAAAAGTAGTGCATTGAGAATATGTGAGAATTAAAATGACCAGTAATGAACAGCTCAATTTTTTTTTTTTAAAATATATTTTTAAGGTTCAGTATCTTTTTAATTCAAGACTGTAGTGGCCTATAACATGTACAATTTTAGATCTGAAATCCAGTTTGAATTTTGAAAAAGAGCTGATTTCGCATCAAAAACCTAATTATTTGTGTAAAATATAAGGGTTAAAAGAATGAAAGACTTTGATTCTTATTTATCAAGTATGTCATCAATTCATTGTAAAAAAAAAAAAAAAAAATGTAAGATTCATGATCGTGGTGGTCAGGATGATGATGACATATGTGTAAAATTTTAAAAGGGGTACTCACTACAATAGTTGCATCCCCAGATACACCTAAACACTATCTTAAACAAAATTTTAAGTTATATGATCAAAACAATGGGTTTTTAATTTACCAAAAAAAAAGGTGACAGCGATGCATTAATGCCTAAAATATTTGAGTAGAAAACACAAACTGCTTCAAAAGCTCAAACTTTCAAATGCTTACCTAAACGAGTAAATTGCAATTTCTACGAGGGCTTTCAGTGGTAAGATTTGCTTCAATCCCACCAAAAAGGATTGTTCCGAAACTGAAAAGGTTTTATGTTCTCATGAACTCTTTCCGAATGCCTCCTGTTAGACATGCGTAATATGTCCCATTTAGTAGCGGAAAATGGTTTGATGGGGTTGCAGCCCTATCAAAATAAATTGCCGAAAATTGTAAGACAAGCATTGGAAAACCTTTATATTGATCATCTCGACTGAACGTTGTGGTTGTGAAAAAAAATTAAGATTTCAAGCTTTAAATATAGTGTATATTGTAACAAATTATCTAGGCCATTCATTTTACTTTAAAAATAAGTGTTCACATATCCACAATATCTGTACCATTTTTTGAGTTTCAAATATTATTGTTGATGTTGAAAATTGATTTTAGAGCTATCATAGAGATTTTTATCGTTGAAAGTACTTTCCGAACAAGGATTTAAGGTGAGGCTTTATTTTGCTTTCATAAAGCCTAGGCCTTATTTACCTTTTTCCCTAATAAATATTTATCAAGTTTACTAAAAGCCATAACTTGTAATAGTGATATTGACTTCCATGATGCATTACCAAGATAAAAGTCCAAACGGAAATTTATAGAAAAATCTAATTTTGTTTTCAAAGTTTAGAAATATCTTAAATTCGGATTGTGGATGATTCTCACCATGATGCACTTCTAAAGAAAAGAAATAAATTATCACAATACCCCAAATTTTTAGGAGTATTTTAGTCAGTTTTGTTATTGAATTATTTTTTTAGTTTTTATAAGCGTGTGATGGTGTGATGTATGGGTGCCTTAAATTTGAGCTTAATCAGATGTGCAAATAAAATAAAATTTAAATATAATATATGCTCTTAAAAGTAAGACTTGAGAACAAAATATGAAATATATAAATCGATTTTAAATTTTGAAAAATGAGTCTTTTCTGTAAATTTCCCTTCGCTATAAGACATTTGCTTTTTAGGTTAGACATCGTCACTCAATTTAGTTGGCACGTGACTATGCATAAGAATATGTATAGAAGGTACCAACTCCATAGTTTTTCGTACTTTCCTTAAAACAAACACATATTTCTTGGATGTCCTTCCAAATTTATTATTTATTAAATACGAAATACAAACACAAAAAGGGCAGGCTGACTTAAAGTACTAAACTGAAAGCCAAAAAGGAAACAGTACATAGAGGAATCCCGACACCCTGCCTATGATCCCCGGTAAAACTTAGTCACGTTTTGAGCGTCTAAATCACTCTCAATTGTGAGCAACTTTCCTTGAATCGCCACATGGGGGTGGTGGAGTTCTTGGCTTAGGAGGAGGAGCCTTAGGTGGTGGGGCGAATTTTGGTGGTGGAGAAAATTTAGGGGGAGGGGCGAAAGGTGGAGGTGTGAATTTAGGGGGTGCTGCAAAAGGTGGAGAAGCTTTTGGTGGTGGTGTAAATTTAGGTGGAGGTGCAAAAGGTGGTGGCGCCTTAGGTGGTGGTGTAAATTTAGGGGGAGGAGCAAAAGGTGGTGGGGCTTTTGGTGGGGGTGTGAATTTAGGGGGTGGTGCAAAAGGTTGTGGAGCCTGAGGTGGTGGTGTAAATTAGGTGGAGGTGCAAAAGGTGGTGTAGCCTTAGGTGGTGGTGTAAATTTAGGGGGAGGAGCATAAGGTGGTGGGGCATTTGGTGGTGGTGTGAATTTAGGGGGCGGTGCAAAAGGTGGAGGAGCCGTAGGTGGAGGCGTTAACTTCGGTGGAGGAGCTCTAGGTGGGGGCGTAAATTTAGGAGGAGGGGCGAATGGAGGAGGAGCCTTAGGTGGTGGGGTAGGGGGAAGAGAAGGTGGAGGTGGTGGAGCTTTCTTTGGTGGGTCTACTTTTGGTGGAGGAGGTGATCTACACCGCCCACTTAACCTATCAATGAGACTACAAGGTGGTGGAGGTGGAGGTGAACACTTGCCATTGAGCTTATTCCAACTGGAGCATGGGATAGGTACAAGGTTTCCATTTGTGAACTCTAAATGAGTTGATGCTAAGGCTAAGATAAGGCCCAAGAAGGAGAGGGAGAAATAAGGGGAAGGAGAAGCCATACTTCTCCTTTTGCATGGGTTGTTTGTGCATTAGGGTGAGAGAGAGTATTTATAAGGGGGAAAAGGTCTTTGCATGTCCTTTACATGATTAATGGGTGCTGCCATGTGATTAATCTTTGGAAAAAATTTGACCGCTTTTTTGCTGTTTTTCATGATTGCAAATTCATCAATGCTCCCCCTTATTTTCCCTCTTTTTTATTTTACCATGGGGTTATTTTAAATGGCATCCTTTTTATGGAGATTTATTATTGATAGAGAGGCATCATGTATCAAAATTTATGATGAAAGACCATTTGTGAAACCATCAATTTCATGAGCTTTTGATATGATTTTTCTATATTTCCTTTTTGAGAAAACTAGATGATGGTTTCACTTCTATGCCCAAGAAAGAAGGGTAATGGAGAGATAAAAACACAATGTGAGGCCACATCACATGACAAGAGAGTAAAAGGTCTAATATTTCCCAAAAAATTCATGCCCAAAATTCATACCACATATATATCAAAATCGAAAAGGAAAAAAAAGAAAGATCACAACATGTCATGTTCCATGCCAAAATATTTTCTATAATGTGTGATGATAAAAGCAATGCAATTTAAAGGTTGGGGTGTTAACCAGCTGAGCCAAAATTGTACATGTTTAATATGGGGTTGTATGGTCAAGGGATTAGCCCATAAAGAAGCCAAGTCAAGCCATGAATAAGCCCATAGTAGACACAAATGAAGCCAAGTATTAGTGCATTTCAAATTTATGTGTATAAATGTTATATAAATATATATTATTAGTTATATAGATCGTTAGGGTGGCGGGTTTCTAATATTACATTTAGGGGTTTGTTTGATTACTGGAAGGTAAACATTCCCAGCAGAAGTTTTCCTTTCTTGGGAGCTGGAATGTTATTTTTATAGAATTGTTATGTTTGATAACCTGTTTAGAATGTTAAGGAAGTTTTAGGTACTTCTGATTGATTGAACCTAGAACGTGCGTCTTTTGGAAAGATGTGAATAAAATAATTTCAATCTTTCGTTCATTTTTTAGTGACACGAGGCCGATATGCCATGTGTGGAGTAGCACGCTCCTAATCTTCAATATGTATAACAAAACAAGTCAGACTAAGTAGTGCACTTGTTTTTGCATATAAGTGGAACATTTCGTATTTTACCTAAAATTTCAAATTCCGTACGTATATTAGTTTGAATTTTTTAAGGAGAAGAGCACAATATGCTCTTGTGTTAGAGGGTGGGGTTAGCGTAAAGCAGGTGCTTTATGTTATTTATCTATACCACAAAACCTAACCCTCCTGAAAATGTAATTAAACTCTTAAGGCCCTAAAACATAGGTCGCATCTAACTATGAAATTTAAGGATTTAAAAATAGTTAGATACGTAAATACTTGAAACAACTAACCCAAATGTGTTACAAAATACACTTTTTTTGTGGGGCTTGAAATCCATTTTCTTTTATATCCATGATTAATGAGATCAAGATGTCGATTACAAGGCTTTACCAGAAATGTATTTCTTTGAGAAGCCCAAGTACATTTTAAGGTACCGATTACATGAGCTTTTGATGTAGAGAGAGAATAAAACTAAAAAATTGACAATAAAAAGAATGAAGGTTGAGAGAAAACTACACTCTCTCAAAGGTTTGCAAGCGAATCCACCCTCAAAACAATCTTTTTCAAGAGACCAATTTTTATTCAATTCATAGACTGATTCACAATGAAAGGAGATGTCCCTTTAAATAGACTAAAATAAGATAACTAATAAAAAAAGCTTCTCTCTACACCTATCCCTATTTTCTCTCTCTCAGATTCACATGCCAAAATTTCTCTCTCTCATATTCATGTGCCAAAATTGGGTTTCTAGATAGCCACGTTTCCCATCTCATGTTTTACCCAAAAAAACCTCCCAAGTTGGTCATTGTTGATAAAGATAAATTCTCTTCTAAATTTACCCTTATCTTAATTATATCCTTCAAACTAACCCAATCGATACAAGATAAACACAATATAAACTCTAAACTCTTGCCCTACTAACTATCCGTGCGTACTCCCTAAATAAAAAAATAATTAAAATAATCCTAATAAATAACCCTAATAATTTTTCCTTACTACATCATTGCCCTTTCTTTCTTTCTTGGGTTCTGCGACCCTTCTTGGCCTAGTCATAAAGGGGCATTGCTGCATCATCCCCTCCTAGTTGAAAGGAACTCGACTCCAGCGAGTTGGCTGCAGTATATATGCAATATAAGTCTGGATCCACTCTTTTGTACTCGGACTCAGAAATCCACATGCTATCAGAGTATGGCCTGCCCTTCCATTTGATTAGAAATTGGCGATAGGAACCCTTTCGAGTTTGAAAGCTTTCAGTTTTTAAAACTTTCTCAATTTCCTCCTCTTTCTTCCTTGGTAATATCTTCATCATATCAACTACATCTTCTGCGACTTCTAGAGGGTTTCTATGAAACTCAAATAAGTCAGCAACAGTAAATATCGAGGAGATATCCAATGCCTTTGGTACTTCCACCTTATATGCATTGTTCCCATATTGCTTCAAGATGCGGCAATGACCCACTTTCTTGGACTTGAGTTTATTGTAGGTTCCCAACCGAAACCTTTTCTTTCGAAAATACACCATTACTAAGTCACCCTCCTTAAAAATCTTCTCTTTTCTTTGTTCATTTGAGGCTTTTTGATACTTAGCATTGCTCTCCTAAATTTTCTTCTTGATTTGGGCTTGCAAATCTCGAATATGCTCAGCAAAAACATTGACATCATCACTTATCTTGCTTGGCATGGGTAACGGCACTGGTCCAGCACATGATTAGGCGTTCGCCCATTAAAAAACTCAAATGGTGATTTTCCTGTCGATCAATTTATTGAACTGTTGTAAGCAAACTCAACCTGAGGTAAAGTGAGGTCCCACTGAGATATGTTATCATCAACAATACTCCTCAAGAGGTTACCAAGGCTCCAATTCATTACTTCGATTTGCCATCTGTTTGAGGATGATAGACATTAGAAAATTGAAGTTTGGTTCCCATGCGCTTCTACAAGTGCGGTAAAAATGACTAAAAAATTTTGTATCCCAATCAGATGTAATAGACTTAAGAACACCATAAAAAATGATTTGCGATATGTGTAACATCCATAGTTCTTCTACATGGAATTAAATGTGCCATTTTAGAAAATCGATCAACAACAACAAAAATAGAGTCCATACCTTGTGTGGTACGTGGAAGTCCAAGTACAAAGTCCATAGAAATATCAACCCATGGAGCATTTGGAACAGGAAGAGGAGTATAAAGACCTGTATTTTGTGTGTTACATTTAGATACTTGGCAAGTTCGACATTGGATCACAAATCGATCAACATCTCGTCGCATACGTGACCAAAAATGTTTTTCTCCAACCATAGCCATAGTTTTGTTATTCTCACAGTGTCCACCCAAGCCCCCACCATGAAGCTTTATGTTTATATTCTCCCTTAGGGAGCAATTAGTTATAAATAACTACACACCTTTAAATAAACAACCATCATGCATGAGATACTCACCCATAGGGTCTCGCCCATCAACACATCTTTCAAGGATCTTGCTAAAAATTGGATCAACTTTATATTGATCTTTTATCACTTCAAACTTCAACACTTCCATAGAAAAATTTCTAAGCAACACTGCCCTTCAACTTAAAGCATCAGCTGCCTAATTTTGAGTTCAAGCCTTGTGCTTTAATAGGAAGGTGTATTCTTCAAGGAAGGCCATCCACTTAGTATGTTTAAGAAGTGCACACAGATAGTTAGTAGGGCAATAATTTAGAGTTTATATTGTGTTTATGTTTAGGGAGTGCGCACGGATACTTAGTAGGGAAATAATTTAGAGAATAGATTGTGTTTATCTTGTATCGATGAGTTAGTTTGAGGGATATAATTAGGATAAGGATAAATTTAGAAATGAGTTTTTCTTTATCAATAATAACCAACTTGGGAGGTTTTTTTGGGTAAAACATGAGATGGGAAACGTGGCTATGTAGAAGCCCAATTTCGGCAAATGAATATGAAAGAGAGAGATTTTGGCACGTGAATATGATAGAGAGAAAATAGGGATAGGTGTAGAGAGAAGTTTTTTTTATTAGTTATCTTATTTTAGTCTATTTAAAGGGACATCTCCTTTCATTGTAAATCAGTATATGAATTGAATAAAAATTGATCTCTTGAAAAATATTGTTTTGGGGGTAGATTTCCTTGCAGATCCTTGAAAGAGGGTATTTTTCTCTCAACATTCCTTCCTTTTATTGTCAATTTTCTAGTTTTATTCTCTCCCTGCATCAATTGATATCAGAGCGGGTTCTGATGGCTTCACATGAGACACCCATCGATGGATTAAAGGTATTGACTGGATTAGTTCAAGCCCTAGCAGAGAGAGTATACCAATTCATGCCTGTAGCTGCGAATGTCAATGAGCTTGCGCAAAAGTTCGCTCTGCTTTAGGAGGGAAGGAATCCAGAGAGCGGCGTTGGAACTCAAGGCTACAGAGATAAAAGATGTATGCATCTTGTTCCTAACCAACATCGGGTGGCCCCTGCTAATAACAAATTCAATGAACGAATTATTCGGTTGTTGGAAAGAGAAAGAAAACCTGGAATAAAAATTGATATTCCACAGTTCGATGGGGGATTGCATGTAGATGATTTTCTTGATTGGCTAAGTAAAGTAGAGAAAGTGTTTGAGTACAAAGATATTGCAGATCACAAAAAAATAAAATTAGTTGCCACAAAATTTTTTGGCCATGCATTAGTTTGGTGGGATGATTTGCAACAGGATCGTCTTCGATAAGGCAAGAAAAAGATTAATTCGTGGGAAAAGATGAAGACGAAGATGCTCTGAAAATTTTTACCAATAAATTATGCCCGAACGTTGTACCAAAGGTGTCAAA